GCCTTAGTAGCATGCAGGAATAAGTTTCCCTTTGCCTCCAGCCATTCCAGGGGGAACAAGATGAACTTCTATTATGAACCCAGCTTAGTTCCTGAAGGATTGAGTTTGCCAGTACTAAGCCTTGACTACTTCCTGAGACCAGTGTGTTTCAAAACCAGAAAGAGTGACTTGCTGCTTGCAGTCTTACCAAATAGCTGGGTCAGAAATGGGGAAACATTCATGTCTCCAAATCCATGTGAATGCAATGCAAACTCTTCTGGCTGTTACATACAGTATAAATATAGTTATTTTCCTTTCTTTAGGGAATGTATCGTTCTCAATCCAGTTTTAGGATTACAGTCTAATCTCAGTCTCTGAGCAGTCTGTGCCCACGTATCTAGGATTAGAATTTAGCCCCACAGCCTCTCCAATGGCACCTTACCCCAATTAAGAAGACATATTTCGTGTTCCTCTATGATATAATGTTAATATAATTGCTTTTTTGCTTTCCAAAAGTCATTTAATTTGTTGGCTGCAGACTCCAGAATAATTACAGTCTTTAGTTTTGTGACTTTTAGCATGAGTTTAGAGCAAGAACCCTTGATCCTACAGCTAATGACATTAGGAGTATTAGTAATATTGGAATATTTATCTATTCCTTTAAACAGCACTTGATTTCTCAGGTAATCAGGAGAGATTTTTCTAAAAAGGAAGCCAGTGGAAACACAAATGAGACTATGTATGATTTCAGTCATAAGCAGGGATACATGTTTATATGTTTGACTGACGTCTCTGACACAGATTAACTGAGCATTTTAAATAATACTCAGCTTCTTCCAGACAGTCTGTGGAGCCACTACTGAGGTACACCAAACATTGACTTTAAAAAATGCTAATTCCATGTGCTTGATATAAATAAAAGCAATATTAGTTAATGAAACCTTAATGCATTTAACTATAAAAACAAGTCTTCCAGCAAGCCTATATTATACATAAGACTATACTGTATCTTGCCAATGCAATTAATAACATGGACACACGGCCTGGTACAGACATTTTGAAACTGCATGGTAGCATGATTAGATTTGCAAATGCTTCTGGTTCATGAAGTTCGTGTCTTGCCACTTCTCATCTAATAAATTGAGACAGAATTAGTCCTGGGTGAGTGGTTCTGCCTGCTGCCAAGAAGGGTTTGCTAAGGGTAAAACTCTAAAAGTAGAGATTAACTTGTCTTCATCCCCGTAATGTGCTGTACAGCCAGGATTTGTGCAATAGGATCAGAGCAGAGCCATATATGAATCTAACGCTGGACAGCTGGTGTGTATGAATTTATATGAACCCCGATGCCAGATTTTGAGCTGCCCTCAAATCCCAGCTAATAAATGTATCAGAACTATACTTTCCCTGTTCCCTCACAGAGGCTTTGCTGATGTGGTTTCTAATATGCCCATTCTTATGAAAATAGTCTGAACCTTGAGTACCCTAAATTTGACCTGCCAGGCAGAACCACAGCTAAGTAACCAAAAGAGGTGCTTTTCCAAATGGAATAACATAGATTAGTCAAGTTCAGTACCACCTCCAGACACAGAGTTACATACGAGTCTTTACAGGACATTAGTAAGCTAACTGTTTATCCTACCTGATCAATTCAATACTTCCCTGAGCAGGAAATTCGGGGATATTAAGAAATAATTTAATATAGATAACATACACATACAAAACATGTTCTTTGTGTTAAATTTGAACCAAACTGGTACTCTGCCATTCAACTTGGAGAAGTAGATTATAATTTTGGTAGAAATAACATCTCAATTTTTTATCACAAATGCCGGAGTTATTTTTATGTATCTGAGAAAAAAATCCAAGTTAAGTTAAAAAGGATTGATTATCATACCAATGATGTCATGAAGCAACTCCAGTGAAAACCTCATTAAGGAATCAAACCCTCCTTTTGGCTCATGATGATTCAAAAACTGGGTCAATGGAAGCAGTAAGCTAGAGCTTGAGTGGAAGAAGGTATCAATGAATTTTCAATACTATTTTTCAGTACTATATCTTTTTCCTGTCAAACTAACACACCACATAGTCTACCTTTGCAAGGCTGGGTTGTTTATTGATGTACATTGCCTGAAGCAATGGATGCTGCTTGAAGTGATGTTCTGTGAATCTTGGTCCTCTAATCTATCAGTAAATATGGATCAACCCCACTTTGGGTGCTGCTGCATTCAATACCCCACATTCAGGGAAAACCTCACGTTTAAAAAGAAAGTTTTAAAGCAAATTCTTTAATAGTTTCTGCTTCAGCTCTGAAAGGAGGCGGTGTGAGAGACTGCCTGTCAACAGACACTGTATCACATCCAACACAAAATCCAGATTTGTTTTAGGGACTGCACAGACAGCACAGAGAACACCACAACTATACTGGTGATACTGGTTTCTAACCATAGTTACTGCTGTGGATAGATATCTGTCACAAGAGACAGGGTATGTGGGATCCCACATGGGGGATCTGGGTCAGAAAAGATGGATCTTTTCCCAGTAGGGTTTCCATGATTCTACACTTTAGAGCTGAACAACCTAATTTTAGTCACAGATGTGATTTTAGGGGCAAGTGTAGAAGTTCTAGGTAGGCCTGATGAAGGAAGTGTCTTTTATCTGTGTGTCTTTTTCCCACACAGGGACATATTCCCCAGAATACAGCACATTCACAGCTATGACTAAAACAGGGGATCAATGCACTCCAGCAGTTCCTAAAAACCAAAAGTGGTACAACTTGTCAGTCATCTGACAGATGAAACTTTGTCAGTGGTAATACTAATTTTTAAGTTGGTTTTTTTTCCTGATTTACTAGAATAAAAAGTTTAAAACCTGGATTTTTTTTCTATTATGTCTGTCTGGAACTCTGCTGGTTTCTTTGCATCTTCATATCACAAAATCATAGAACAGTTTGGGTTATAATGGACCTTTAAGTCCATCTTTTTCAATCCCCCTGCAATAAGCACTGACATCTTTAGGTGGATCAGGTTGCTCTGGTCAGATGCACCAAGCAAAGGCCAAAGACCAGGCTGTAAGGAGGTCAGCATGAAGTTTAAAATTGCAATTTGTTTTGCAGAACATTTAATGCAGTCATTTATCCATGACAAGAAACCACCTAAATGGCTCACTGGACAATATGGTGTGGCAAATACCATCATCCCAGTTGCCACCTATTTTTTGAGCTGCTGAAAAGTTTAGTTCAGCACTAAATCGCTTTAGTACTGAGCTTTAAAATGCTTTAGCAGCTCAGAAGCACTTTGGCAGCTCAAATGCTCTTCATGAAGCACCAGCATCCTAAATCGCTTTAAGCCTAAAGTATCCTAAAAAAAAAAGGCAAATGGAAATATATCCAGCAGCACATGTTTGGGTAATACATATGTCAAGAACAAAGGACATGGTGCTAGTCTTGGATTTGACAGGATGTCTGCTGCCAGGAAGACCTGAATCTTGGCCAACACAGAATCCAGCATTTACATTTACAAATGTAAAGAATTTTTTATTTTGAGGGAGCACCAGTGGGGTAGTCCAAGTGCAGCCTCTACTCTCAGTCTGAACGGCTGAAATGATTCACTTGTCTGCCTTTTGGAAAACGCATTTTGAGGTTCAGACCAAGTATCTTCACCATACCAAGGAAATGGTAAATTCCTGAGAAATGTGAATTAGATTGAGAGCTTTCCTGTAATTCTTTTTCAACTCGTCAATAGGGCAAAGGCAACAAACGAAGTTATAATGATTAAGTTATAAATGGCTTGGGTAACAAAATACAGGATTTGAGTTCCAGTTGATTTTTGGATAATAGTGCTCCTGTCTTTGCATTTCCCTCACTGTGTCCTCTACCAAATGCTGGCTGAACTCATGGAGCTATGACTCTCCATCTACAGGATGAGAACACTTAGGCATTACATCTTCCTTCTTTCAGAAGACAGAAAGAGTCCATTTCATCAGAGCTAAATGGAGATAGAAATTCAAGCCCCTACTTTCAACATACTTTAAAAAAAGAAATTAAAAACCAATCATTTGCTGTGCAACTCTGGTTTGAAATGAGTGTTCAGATGCCCCTGCTGCTGCTTTTGGAGCTGGCCTGCTCCCTCTGCCAACTCCTCAGCTTAAAGCATTCCATACAGGATAACTTTTTAACATCCAGGCTCTGGGTTACAGGACTTGCTTCCTTTATGACCTGTCTGCACAAAAAATTCTGCTATAGATTATTCACCCAAAATCCTTAGCAAGGCATGTTGTGGTTATTCATTCCACTAGTATCAGGATCATTTTTAATCTGGTCATCTTCCTCTTTGGACAGACTTGGAAATGCTCTCACAATCCACCTCAGTGACAGTGCAGCTAGTCAGCCATGCATTTGCAGTGTATTAGGTTTTAGTCTGGATTTCTACTCTTCGCCTGGCTTTATTCACCTGTACATATATGGGTAATTAATCTGAGTCTCACTTGTTTTATCAGCGTTTTCATCACTACAAAGCATGTTATTTTACCTTTTCTACTGCATTTGGCAGCCTTAAGGGGTTGATGTCTTTTAGAACAGCTCATTTCTACCCTTTCTCTCCATCTGTTTCACTTAGTTTGCAGTAAAGAGGGCTCCAAACTATTACAATTCCCAAAGGAACCCAAAGATACCTGCCTTCCTAAATATGAGCATGTCACTAATCTCAGGGCTGCTGTGATACTGCAGGCAAAGGCTTTGGCTTAATTACATCCTTTTGAGCTGCTGTTTCCCAGCATCCTGGCTTTCCTTGCATTGTAAGATCCAAGGACACTGATCAACTCGGTGTAAACACAGGCAACATTTGCATTGTCCTGAAACCTGAAAGTTTCTGTATGGAAAACAGTACAACCCACAAAGGCTAAAGGGTCCAGCTGTGACTGGTAGGACTACCTGCTTCTCTGAGAAATAACTGGCATAACCTGCTCTGTTCCCCACATTGTTGAATGTCTTTCTTCTCTTTGGCCCTGCTGATTCAGATCCTTACCCCAGCAAAGCCGGTGCTGTCTCCTTGCAGCATGACTCCTCGGGAGCACATGAGGAAGATGTCTATCCTGGGGGAACAAGGAGCACTGGAAGAGAAGCACCTGTACCGATTAGCAAGTGGAATGGCAGCAGGAGGTGAGCAGGGAGAAACCCAAACTACATCTGTTTATAGGATTGCTAATTCCTCTACAATATACAAAAACCAGCCAGCAACAGGTTGGATGTCTTAAAAAGGCATTTCAAATTTATCTTAGGAGTAACTGCAGAAATCTTTCTCTAAGGTGATTTAAAGTTAACACAGGGGCTCTTGGAATTCTGAATTTGATTAAGAGATGCTGAGCATCTGAAAGACAAGTCAAGGTCACAAAAGAACTTAGCAACAAAAGCCATAGCTGGACATTATGATGTTCTGGCTCACCATTGTAGGCTCTTCTTTCTAGGGTTGATGTTTCATGACAAGGCAGGTTCTAGCTAGTATGATTTTTCTAAAAATGAAACTATATTTGAAATAAAAGCTGTCTCAAGCAGAGAACTTAACATCCATGGCTATCTTCTTCTATTTCATAGTGTCATGTGAATTACTATTCATTGTAAATTGTCCTTTTGTACACTTGACTGTGCACATCCTTGTTTAGTTTTAATGCAGTTTGATTGTATAAATTTGCATTATTTAAAAAAAGCAGTTATGGTGGCAGCAGAAACATATTTTTTAGTTGCTGCTATTAAAAAAAAAAGTGTGATTTGCTAACTCGTACTTGAGGGGAAAAAAACAATCATTTTTTTCTGGTAAAGTTGTATTGCAGACAGAATGACTTTCTAAGTTAGCACACTGACCCCAGAGCTGTGTCTGCTTTGTGCCAGAGCTGCGGCAGCGGCAGGAGATGCTCATGAGGAATCAGCTGATGGCAGTGAACCCCCAGCTGATGGCGCCGGGCCAGCAGAGGGTGCAGGCGATCCCCGCCCAGTTTGAGCCGCGCCTGGTCGACAGGTACAGGGCACCATTTCCCTGTTACAGCACTGCAGTTATTAACAACTGTGCTGTCCCTGAGCATGTACAGACCTTTGATTATTCTTAACTAAGCAGTGTCCTCTGCATTTCTGAACGTTGGGGTTTTTTTCCCTCCTAGAGACCTGTTACCTTCCACTGAAATGATGGCCTCGGCTGATCCCAGACAAATCCACATATCCTCCCACCTTGGACCCACAGTCCCGCAGCACCCAAACGTGCCAAATATATTGGCCAACCGAGTTTACCCAGGCCCAGGTAACGAAGCAGCGTCTGCATCCTGAAAAGTGAGAGTGTGTAAATGAGAGAGCAAACTGCACCTACTGGTTTGCCCTTGGTTTGTTGGTAGTATCAGCAACAGTTTATTTTCTTTAGAAAAACAGTCTCACTGAGTGGAAACAGCCTGTCCACCAGAGAATCTAAACTGTGCCAGTTTAGGTCTAAACGCATCCATTTTAGCTCTTGCTAAATACACTGTTTTCAAAGTCATTTGCATGTTTTTCTACTCGCTTTTTCTTTCTGTATTTTCCAAGCATTTTCACATCTGAAAAGAAGGCTGTAGCTAAACAAATGAGCCCAATCAACAGCACTTTCACACTACATTTAACTCTTGCTCTTGTATGAGTATTGGCTGCTTTTTACTGATCATATTCTATAATGATAATATCACATGCCACCTTATTCATGTAGGGCAACTGCAAGTCCTTTTAATAAATGTTTAAAATTACAGGACATAGCTCCCAGGGGAAGGCTGGATATCACAACCGTGGCACTCGTGTCATGCTGCACATAAATTTACATATCACTTCATACAAAGTGATCTCATGGTTCCTTTTTTGAGATGAGTGAATGAATTCTCAATGTCACATTGATTTATAAAGAAGTATTTCTGGCTTCAGCTTTTTTTCCCACCTAATGTGGATCTCAAATAAGACATTCCCTCGAGAGGAAATGTAATTTAAAATTACATGGGCTCCAGGCTGAAAACAGTCTTGAAGGATCAGGTTTGCTTTGCTCAGTTGATGGTTATTGTTTTCTGAGCAGTTATATGTGCTTCAAGGACTCCAACTAAAACCACCCTGCTGTCTCCTTTCTTTATCGATAACAGCAGATATTCCTAACTACAGATCTGATCCTGCAAACACCTAATGCTGGACTTCACGTTTCTTCTACTCATTCCCACCAAAGCAATGATCACAAATAGGATTTGACTTAAAGTCATATCTGCTTCCTGGTGGAGTCCATAGTCAAAGTCTTAAAAAGCTTTTTAAAGTGTCTCTGCATTGCTTTGGGGTTTGTGCACTTGCTTGAGGAAACAAGTGAATTTTAAAGACTTATATTTTCTCCTTTCCTTTAAGGATACAGCTTTCTACAACCAGAATCCATGGAAGCTGTGGCCAGAAGACAGGAACTGGCTCAAAAGCAAAATATTGCCAGGTAATCCATAGCAAGCTTTGCTCTGAGGTGCCTGCCAGGATTAGGGCAGTTGGCAATTACTAAAGCACACATTTACTATTTACAGTGGTTGAGATATTTTTTCAAGTCATCCAGAGAAGCAGAGGGCCCTTGATTATCTATTAAGACCTGAAGATACCTGATATAAGAAAAAGAAACAAACCCTTTAGCTTGGTTAAGGAAACAAAGAAACTCCAGCCTCAGCCCTTGAACTCTCGATTCAAACACCCTGAAGTTACAAAAATTCAGAAACAAATTCAAACCTTCCAGCTGTGTGCTGTCACACACATTTTAAGCCTCTACAGCTGGGCCCCTGGGATAATTAGCTATGTGTCCACCCTACCAGGGTGGGCAGCTTTCTTAATTTATCAAATAGTTGGACTATCAGGGTGATTATAGAGAAGTCCACTAATTTGTTCCAGTGTGAGTGTAATCAGTAGCTGGTTAAGTAACCAGCAGTGCCCTCCCTCACAGCTACACCATTTCCATAGCAGAACTCTAAACTCAACCACTCCCGCCCTGGGCTGCAGCACAGCACTCAGTGGTGTCTCACACACAGTGAGACTAAGAGCAAAGAACAGATAAATTATGAGTAGGCATCTGAAGAGAATTATGACAGAAGTGTTTTAGGCTCTTCAGTCAACAAAGCTTGATTATTAGCTTGATTATTGCACAAGATTTGCATCAGCAATGCACTTCCCTTAGCTGTTACCACATGGAAAAGCCCTGAGAAAAACAAGTAAAATAACCAGCAGCAAGCATGACCATCACATCCAGTCTCAGCCACATCAGAGCTGGCCCTACCTGTTCAGGCTCTTCCCTCAGCCCACAAAACCCAGAAAAACCCCAACATAAAAAAACCCAGCCTAAATCCATGAAATAATCTTTTACCTCAATTTTTTTCCACCCTGGCAATTTCCACTTTTTTCACACTGCTTTGTGCAGCACACATCACCTTTAGAGCTGCCTTTGGTCCTTTCACCTGTTACAGAAATTAGGTGTTGACAGCCTCCTGCACTTCCTGCAGTTGTGCTGCTGAGCACCTGGGCCCAAATCCTTGTTCTCCAAGGGACTCTGCCTCATGTCAAAGCTCAGTGATTCCCCATCTGCTGGTCCTCAGAGGAACAGACCATCTCATCTGGACGAGTAGCAGGAATGTAATTCTGTCTGCTGCTTATCTCCGCTTCAAGAGCTGTGTGGGGGTAATGGCAGTGGGGCAAGACATACAAGGACATGGTACACAGACAAAACACTTCCTTTGGATCTCTGAAAGCAGAAAATCAATAATTCAGAGGCTGTTGCAAAGATGAAAAGAGGGCAGAGAAAAATCCCTGAATGGAGTGATCAACTAATTCCTGCTCAAACCAAAAATCTGAATAGATAGCTTTTGCCCAAACTGTTTCTCCAACAATTTTCCACTCTTCTAGAAGTCAGAGTCTCTCTGACCTGTTATCCTCATTGCAGTGTTAAGAAAGCTATCTTGGTGAACTTCACAGGTCGTTTTCCAAAGAAAGATGCAGAAATCCCACTGAAAGCTCCTCAGAGCTCCTCTAGGAGTTCTAGTTTTCCGTTTGGACACTGGCTTGGCTCCAGAGAAAGCTGATGCCAGCAAAGGTTGGTACAGCAGAGACAAATACTACTCCTTGTAGTTTCCATATCCCACTAGTAAGCCCTCCTACCCACTATTCCAGGGGCAGGAAGCTGGCACAGACTCTGGAGCATTGGCTTTATCCATAAGGAAGGAGATCAGCTGAACACTTACCACCTGGATCTAATCTTTTCACACTCAGAGCCGTGCTCCGGTGCCAGGCACTATGGAGAGTTACCCAAGGGACTTTGCATTAGCTCTGAATGTCATGTTCCAGAGATAATAAAATTCTAGTTCTTCATCATTTGCAATATCAGTGGAATTTTGCAGTTTTCAGTATAGTTTTCTGATTAGTAATGTAATTCACTTATTTTCTTTAGTCTCCAACCCTTAGGACCCTGGAGACAATTTTTCAAACCCCAAGTGAGCATAATCACCTCATTTCCTGGATTTCCAATACACAAATGACACTTTTTTGCCTGAAATATTATCTAGGGGCATCCCACGGAAGATATACTTTCCCTTCCTTTTAGCTTACCCTATGTGTGTGACAGCACATTAAATACAGCCAGTTTGCCATTCCATCTGCAGTTTGTGCCCTCTCACACACAGCACTGTAGGGGAGAGACAAGACAAGCAGTTCTCTTGCCTATTCAATTATCTGAGTTTTCATTTGTGCTGAAAAAAAAGGTGATGAAGGAACTGAGCTGCCCTAACTGCCCCTGCTCTGTGTGTCTCTTAGAATGGAGATGGAGATGAGTGCTATTTTTCAGCAAAAGGAAATGGAGAAAGCCCATCGGAAAGGACTGCTGGGCCTGGAAGCACCTTTCCTTTACCATGGGATGCCAGCAAGTCCCATTGCTTTCCGTGGCAGGCACAGGCTACCTGAGGGCCACCTTCCCAGTGACTTGTACGTTCACCGCAGCACCCTGGATGAAATCCATGGGAACACCATGCTCATGGCAACCAGCCCGTACCCGCCAGTGACCACACTCCAAAGGGAGAGGGGTCGTCGGCCAGGGAGAAGAGCTGGAAACCACAAAACTGCCGACTGCAGTGCCAATGGCACGAAGAACCAGGCTGAGGACAAACCCACGGACTCTGCCTCAGCTGCAGTGGATGATGAGAAAGAAGACAAGAAAGAAATAGAGGTGGAGGCACCAAACAAACACGAGCAAAGCAAAAACCAGACTGAGCCATCTGCAGTTGCCAAAAACTGTAAAGAGTTTGAGCAAGGCTTGAGAAAGAACTGTGCTACTCATGAAATTTCTACTGAAACCAACAGCTGCAGCAACACAAATGAGAAGGAAGCCAATAGCTCCTGTGCTGCTTTTGATGACAAATACATGTACCCTTCTGCAATCCCATTCTCAGCATTACCATATGGATTTCCAGTACCCAACAACCCATTGCTACCTTCAGGTTTGTCAGATCTCCAGATTACAGTTATATGTTGATATCATTTGGTTTTATTGATATGGTCTCATTTCTTCCCCTAGTTTTAAGTAAATTTTTGTTAAGGTAGAGTCATTGCAACTAAATGTAGAATTCATATGCTGCAAACAGTAATAACTGAATTCAATTCCTGCTTTAAAAATGAATATCAATTAAAATAAACAAAATTGCTGACTGAAATTGTGAGTTAGTCTCTCCCTTCTGCCCATAACTTTTCTATGTGTCCTAACTCTCAATAGGCACTATGGGTTAGCAAAGGCTTGGTTCTGTTCTACTGACATAGTAGTAAAATTAAAGTAACAGTAACATCTAAGGAATCAAAAATATTGGATAATGTACTCATTAGAGGAAATACTGCAGCATCATTTGTATGTGTAGTGACTGGTAGGTACAGTGCCAGCAGTAAACAAAAAAAAAAAACCAAAAAAATCCCCTCCAGATCCAGGTGCTACTGACTATCTGGTGGCTTTTTGTCCAAGACTGTCTGTGACTACACACTGCTATTAATTTATTGGGTTCTGGAGAAGTGTAAAAATTTTCATGTTAACAACCACTTCCTCCTGATTTGCCAGCAAAATTCTCTGACCATAACTTCTGTGTTTCCTCCTCCAAGGAGCACATGGCCTGATCCTGAATGGAGAAGACATTTCCTCCATCGAAGACATTCGCAAGTGGACTGTTGATGACGTGCACAACTTCATCGTCAGCCTCCCAGGCTGCTCAGATTATGCCCAGGTGATTATAAACATTCATCACGTTCTCAGTTCTTTAGGACCATCTAGATTTAAAGGTCACCAAATAAATGTAAATGTGAGAGGGTAACTGGTTGTCACAAAGTTACAAATATAATAGCAGTTTTCATTGTGCTGTTAGGAGATGAATACAAAGATAAATCAATAAAATTATTATTTCCTCCTTTTATTCTTTGTGTCTCAGGATTAAGCATAAAAAGCAATCAGTCTGTTTTAGCACACTATGATGTGTTTTATCATTTCATCAGATATTTAAAGACCATGCTATTGATGGAGAAACCCTCCCACTGCTAACAGAGGAACATCTCCTGGACACAATGGGATTAAAACTCGGACCAGCATTAAAAATCCGCTCTCAGGTATGATCATTAAATGTATGCCCAAGTCACAGACACATGAATGAGCCAGAAGCTCACAGGATGAAATTTTTCCAAACTAAACCGCTTTTTTTTTCACTGATAAGGTAACTACCATAATATTGGGAGAAAAGAAATTACTCCAGCATAGTTTGCTTTTGCTTCTCTGCATGTTACCACAGCACACAGAGAGACCCTAAGGAATATGATCATACATTTTCCAGAGACAGTTAGTCTCTCTATGTTTACAGTTTTCTGCCCTTAATTTCATCCACTAATACCAACTCTCTGTGTGTTTCTGTTGTTGTCTGGTTCTTTTCTTTTTTCTTTTCTCTCACTCTTCTGTCCTTAAAACCACCTTCCCCACTCCTGGCTGGCAGTTTGCCTTCCCTCTCTCCCGGGGGTGTTGCTGCTCTCAGGGAGCAGGAGGATCCTGCAGTCAGGCCCCACAGTCCCAAGCTGAGTATTGACAAGCTCCTTCCACAACCCGGGCTTAGAAAAATAAGAGAGAGGGAAAATGCAAGAGATTTTTTTTTTCGCTTTTGCTAATCACTGATAACCCTTGGAGATGGCTGGGATCCCCTGGATGTCCCTGGCGTTGCTACACGAGAGTCAACCTTGATGTCTAATGGCGTTAACAGTGTCTCGAGAAGCGATTGCTGCGATTGTGCCTTTGTCTTTAAAGGTGTCCCGACGCCTGGGAAACGTGTTCTACATGATGAATCTCCCTCTGCCGGTGCCCCTGCCCCCTGCTGCCGGGAAACCCTCGGAGCAGCCCTCTGACATGGCCTCCCCTCTGCACTGCAACAGCAGCGGGGACACGCTGGACAGTCCCTGCTCTCAGGACCCAGAAACTTCCCAAGCAGTGGAACAGATCGTTTCAGAAAGCAGGGAAAATCCCTGTGACACAGCTGGGTCTCAGGCTGACTTCCAGATGATCGCTTTCCAGAAAAGTTGAGCTAAGACCAGGACACAACATGTTCTTAGTAATACAGGAACCTCTAGTTACAGTGTTTGAGAAGAAGCTACAGCCTGAAACCTCTGTGTGGCTGAAGGAAATAAGCTGCCAGTGCAGCATGAGGAAGTGTAGTATCTCAGAGGCGTTAAAAATGCAACTACTTTCAAGTGCAATTCATTGAAAAGAATACCACTATAGTTAGCAGGGAAATTTTTTTTTCATTAAAGTCCAGTGGCATTACTGAAAGCTGTCAGAGACTCAGAGTGCACTGTCTGTCTTACATCTGTCTTACACTGTGTTCCTGTGGGCTGCTGAGAAACTACTTGGGAAAGTCACAGCTTCCACACACAGCTGACTCCTCCTCCTACTGAACAAAATTTATATTTATATGGAATTCATTGGGAGAGTATGGAATTACCTTCAGAACACAGAGAAATTTGAGTTAATCCCATTGCTATTCCAGAACTAAGCCTTTCTAAGTGCCTGGGAAGGGTATACAGGGTATAAAAAAGATACACGGATTAAACGCTGGACATGAAAATACCATGTGTGACAGTAATTTTAATTTTATTAATTTTAATTATTCCAAGGCATTCTTATCACCAGGGCTGGAATTTGCTTCGTGTGACTGCACAGCTGAGAGGAGTTTAGGGAGAAGCACCAGCAGACTCTGCCATGAAGATCAGTTGCTGGAGGACAGTAATGTTCCTGCAGGCACCAGGCTCAAACCCACCTGGTTCCTGCCAACCTCTGCCAGAACAACCTTCCCCTTGGCCTGCCTGGGAAAGCCATGGAAAGCTGTTCACTCAGCAGCATGCTCAGTGTTCTTTTTGGAAAAAGACATCCATTTTTGCCTGAAAACTCCCTTTTCTCTGCAAAAATATGGTTTCCCCTCACTTGTGCTACTGATGAGTCATTATCTCGCAACAAACAAGAACAAGAGAACAAGAAATAGAGCTTTTGGCTAAGAATAAACCCCCAGCATTTATTGTGATTTCTGTGTGACTTATCTTTGTTCCCTCTGGAGGGGCTTGTTCATACACTGGTTTTCCACTGAGGCTTTGGAAGTCAGTATATTTCCACTCTTCTCCTTGCGAGAACACTTCTTTACTCCAAAGGACACACAAATATTTTTGATAATTGAAGTTCTGTGAATTGAGGTTTGACAAATTGTGGATCTGCTGTATGTTGCTACTTTAGATTCGCTCCCCTTAGCTTAGTTTGTGTGGCCTCAAGTACTTAAAGCCCAAGAGGTATAAAGCTGTTTAGATGGTGAGAGGCTAAACACATGAGGAGGGAGAGTATTTTCATATTCTGTTCTTTTACTTTAGCTTAAGATAACTTATTTTATGTCTTTGCTATATTTGTGCACTCAATAATGTGTAATTAGATGTTTGCAACAGCGACTTCAGATGTTCATCTTATTATACTGTCCAAACCTTGCAGCCTTTGGAAGAAGGGCAAATACCTATGTTCTTTTTAGCATGTGCAACAATTTCTAACTTATTTTTGTACAACTGACAATCATGTTGACAGTGTCACTTACCTAATTAAACACACTCAATGACGTGGTTTTCAAATGGCATCCTACCTCCTCACTGTACGAAATATTCGACTCAATCCACACGAGACTTTCTCCACCCTGGAAGAGGAATCCCTGACACGGCTCCAGGTGAGTCAGGCCACGAGATGTCGCTGCAAAGCCGCGCGAGGTCACCTGCTGCCCTCCCGAGGGAAATGCAGCACACCTGAGGGACAGGTAAAAGGGCAAGGATGTGAAGAAACTGAACCTGTTTTTCTAAAGTAGCAGCAGAGAAGCTTGACTTGCAATCCCATATGCCAGGGAGGAATGACTGAAATGTGGTTCTGAAGAGTGTGATTATTTCTGTGAATGGTTCAGACGTGAACGATGCCAAAAGCTGAGAAAGTTGGGATGAAAACTCTGCAGTCTCGTGCTACTTCTGCAACTGAAAAACACCCCAAACACCTGATCCTTTACACACACTGGGCACTTCTTCCCAAAATGACAAAAAAAAAATGACTTCATGGCTTCCTGTACTCAGGGGAGATGTGCTGGAGCAGCCAAAATGCAATAAGGCTTGGACTGCAAACAGCTGTGGAGTGAAATAGGAAGGAAAGGGATTTAGCTAAACAGACATAGTTGATTCTATTTCTAATGAAGGAAATACCACTGGTAATGAATGTTTCCTCTGCTACAAACACTTCAAAGAAAATGAAGGAAAAAAAGTTTAAAATAAATTAAAAAAAACCATAGAATCAGTAGACAGACCAATATTTCCAGGCTTTGATGTGCTTTCATGAATTATGTTCATGTGTAAACGTTGAGGCCTTACTGATTCTTATGTTTTTTGACTTTTTGTGCTTATTCCAGCTGCAAAGGGGTTCAGGTAGCAATCACAAGTAACTAAAAAAGCTGGCAGAACTCTGCCACTTAATGACTTCCTGGTGTCTGTGCCACCACTGCATTCATTTCTTCTGCTATGGCACTAAAATCCCAAGGGGATGCAGATGACTTATTTTGAGTGGCATCATTAGAAATGGTTCACTTAACATCTGTTGCTGTGTTAGTTCATAGCAGTGATGCAGTTAATGAAGAAGAGAATGTTTTTTGTAAGAGGTAGATGTATCTGATTTTGTATCTACACTAAATGTGTGGGCTACCAGGGACAGAGACTTCCCTTTCTTTTTTTAATAGGGCTGAGGTTAAAGACAAGATTAATAAAAAGGTACAATAAACGTATAACAAAATGGTTCTGTACTATAAATAACACACCTAGGAAAGTCCTGAAAAAGAAGAAATGGCTTATCCTTCCTATGACAACCTGGGTTTCTGACCTTATGATTGCTGCATATGGTGATGATGTGGAATATATACTCACACAGAGCCAAACAGATCATTCTCTGCTCAATTCCACAGGTGAAAAATCTCTAAAAAATGCTATGAATATACAAGTGAGGAGAATCCCCACCTGGTCCAAATCAGGTATTCATTCTAATCCAGCACACAAACACAAGAGCAGGCAGCCAGATCCACAGGGCAGTGGTATTTCAAACTGACCCATACCCATGCCACCAGCTATTTTATAAAAATTTAAATTTAAAAACTTCATATTATTGTGAATCTGCCACAAAATAATTTTCAGAATGTTAAATTATCCTTTAAGTGTGAACCACAAAAAAAATCACCTCTAGTTTTTAAAATTGCCTCTATTTTTTAAACTAAGAAGAAACTTCTCATATTTTTGACTTTACCCTCACAGAATGTTGATTGGTTGTGCAGTGTTTTGAGTCACCTTCAGCATCAGAAATTTTACAGGAAAGCACCCCAAACTAGACACAGCTCATTTTGGTACCTTGCTCTGACAATGTTCTATCTAAGCCCTCTGTCATTCACTGGAAAATAACAAGTCTACTCTATCACAGAATGGTTTGGGCTGGAAGTGACCTTACAGATCATCCAGTTCCAGCCCACTGTGTTCATCAGGGTTCTGTTACCTGTAGTGGTTGGTTTTGATTAGCCCCTCATGCTATAATAAAGAGCTGTAGCTATATTGCTATGGCAATTGCAGTATAATAGTACTTGTTGTAGTAAGAGAAAACCTGACCTCTCCTTTCTCACTTGTTTAGGGTTTGGGGTTCTTTTGCAGTTGCAAGGCTCCTTTCCTTTCTTTGGGAAGGCTTTGCTCCTACTCTCACCTATACTGAGGTCACAAGAATTACTCTGTTAGCTTGGACTTTATGCAGTCCCTTCCTTTGTCTCATTGCCAAGTTTGCCCAAGCCTGTTTTCTCCCAGACAGACATTAATTCTGTACTACCCACATGTTCTTCTTGAACCACCAATTTCCCTGTTAGTGAGGCTGCAAAGCCCTTAACCCAGCCCACAGAAAACCTATCAAGACCTATTGTCTGTGTTGTATAGAGAATGATGCAGTATTTTTTCCTGCAGTACAGCAAAGACATGAATAGATGTTTTGATTTATCAAAATTTAAAAGCACATGTGGCATCTGTGTGTGTGAATTGCTGACATAAATATCAATCAAACAAAACAGTAAAGCAGAAAAAGCACTGCTGACCATGGGGGAAAAAAAGAAAGCATCAAGCCAACCTGGTTCTCCTCTTTGCTGATTAGCTTTCAGTCCCAGGGTTCAAACAGCTCTGCACAGCTGGGATTCTTGGGACTCCAGCAGTTCCTAAATGGTTTGCATTGAAGGATGGTCTGTAAAGCTCTCACTGGCTTCTGGTTCAATCTGTTAAATGGAGGGAAGTAAACTCAAGACTCACATTTTTATATAACAAATATTTTTAACTCAACCACTTGTAGTCATAACAACAAATCTATGATTTTTATAAAACAATAAAAAATAGTTTTTCCTAATGCCATATCCTTAAATATTACCATTCTTATCCTCCCCTCCTGCCACTGCCAAAAATACAGAGATACTAGCAAGCCCATTTCATGTATTTTTTTTTCTCCGAATCTCAGCTGGTTCTTAAAAAAATGTATTGATGTGTTTTCCATTTATGTGTGCAGGTACATCCCCACTGACTCCAGCACAGTCTGACTGACAGTGGTCTTTAGGAAGATCTGATGTGCCACCCCACACCAGGAGAGATATGCCCTTAATGTCCTTATTAGGGTTCAACAGTTATTACTAAAATGAGAATATACTCTTGCAGTGAACAAAGCTGGTATTTGAAATAGATGCAATTAATTGCAGAAGGAACAGAATCAGGAGAAATGATTTCTTAGCTCACCTGTGACTTTTGTCGATTATATGTATCAAATAATTCCGAGTTGTATAGAAATGAAAAGGAACTTGAATGAGAGGAATTATTTAAGAAGCTTCTTAGTGAAAGATAATTCTGGAGATTTGTCTGATGAATCTTTGTTGTTCTGCTAAATTAAAAGCTAAGTGGCTAACTAAATATTTATAAGTTTCAGAGATGAAAGTGACTCAGGATATGTCTACAGTGGAACGTGTTTCTTAGTTATGACTCATGTATTTGTGGGTGGATTTTAGCTGAACCTGCCTTGACAGTATGTGATGCTGTACAGCACAAGGCCCCTATTCCTTATGCTTTGAACCCATAATCGGTGCTGAAGCTGACTGGATGAAAAGGGAGGTCAGTCCAGAGCCTGCATCCAGATATCACCTGCAGATGATCTAGGAGATGTCTCCTAACATATTGCCGGAGAATTTGTCTTCCTTCCTCCCTCCCTCCCTCCCCTCCTTCCCTTCCTGCCCCTCAACAGAATAGGTGAGGTAATTGTGATTTGTGTTTTCCCCTCTCTTCCCCCAAAGCCAGAAGGATTATCCATGGGTCCATAAGCTTCTTGCAAGTGAATGGTTTGTTCAGCAAACACTTGCTCTCACTTCTGGTGTGACTTCAGCTTCTGTTTTGCAGAAGGCTGCGTGACTCCAGAGAGAATTAGAGACATGGTTGTAATTCAATTGCCAACATGTAGCCTTGTCCTTCTGATGTGTATGTCACAGTGGTAAGTCCACATGGTCTTATGGATCCAGGATGACTGAGCCCAAAGCAATCAGATAACAGAGAGCACGAATGCAAATAAATTGACAGGAACAAGTGAATTTAAGGGCATAAGAAAATATGTACCAGAAAGAGTAGAACATCACCTATCTCAGTGTCCTGCCTCAGGGGCCAAGAGAGGACACCTAAAGGAGAGCATAAGAACAAAGCAAACCTTTCAGAATAATTTCTTTATCTCCAGGGACCTATTTCACAAACAGAGGTGATTTCTGTATTTAACAGTAGCTCGTGATGCATTTTCATTCCATTGATGTATCCAGCTGTTTTTTTGACTAAGTTTCCAGTATCCTTACTGCTGTGTTATATCACACAGCTGGGGCGAAGAAGAGGGAAAGTAAGCTAATGAAATGCTGTTGGTTTGGCTTCAGTTGAAAGAGGAAACCACCCCTCTTGTATGCAATATCCTTCCCAACAGCAATTCTGAATCTACCCTAATCACAAGGGCAGTTGGCCCCTTAGGGGCTGTGACTTCACTGTGAGGTTCTGAAATGCTGCTTTTTGCAGCCTTCCCCTCAGCTGACAGACACTGATCTTAAACACAAGCAGTTTGAACCTTCACTTCCACTCCCTGTTTTTTTTTGGGATTCAGCCATTTGCTTCTCTCGTGTTTGTATCATACTGATGACTGCAAATAAACTTGTTCCAGGTACACTTCAGTCTTGCTCTGCTCTGTGCTCCATAGTGGTAGGTCCATCCAGTGCATTACACAGGAGGACACATTCCCTGGCCCAGTTTCCATCCCTCAGTCCTTTCTTAGAGATCTGCTTAAAGCGATGGGTTTGTTCCCTGTGCTGCTCCATGCCCAGCTGTCCTAGGAAGAGCTCCTGCAACTTAGTGTTTCTCAAAGTTCAGATGAATTAAAATTTCTGGAGGGGAGAGGGGGAAAGCAAAATAGAGATTAACCAGATAGTCAAGGTGCTTTTCTGGCAGCAAACAGCTTGATGTTCTGCAGATAACATACCATGCCAAAAAAAAATCCTGCAAAATGAAGAGCTAAGCATTAAAAATGGGTTTATGAATCAGCAATAGATTCAAAGAGACAGGGAGCAGAGGGAAGTAAGATCTTAAAAGAGCCCAAAAGTAGAGGCATGAGGGATGATGACCCATCACGAGGTGATTGCATCCTTCAAGAGGAGGGCAGTGTGACTAGGCAGGAGTATGGTTCCAAACTGCATCTTCCATGCAGCAGGGAGAGCTTCACAGCTGAAATTCAGCTTGTGCCTGTGCAGGTAGAGCAGAGGGTCTGAGCTATGCAGTGCTAAAATCCTTACTGCAGGCATCATGTATTATTAGCAATCTGTAAGTTACAAGTGGCTGAAATAACTTCTGCAAGAAAGCCTCCATGTCAGATGGGCTTTTATGTTACTGTAAGTCAAGCAGAAGAAATAACTGCTTGAATTATTGCCAGCTTAAAACATACATTTTTTAATAAATGCAGTTTGCCTACTTTTTACAAGGCATTGTTTTATTGTAACCATAAAAACTTCAATTCCCTTTCCCTAGTTTATCTTTTGAATTACACTTTTCTGGTTGACTCGCTCTGCAGTCAGTCAGCTTAATTTGTAACTTGTATAGATTTTCTGCCCAGCAACAGCAAAAGGAAAACATTCAACAGAAAAAGATGTCGTACCAGCAAGAGCACAAAACCTGGCACAGTGACTGAGGGGCAAATACGCTGCTGGAAATGTTTTTAGGTTCTTAATTGCCCAGTTTTCAACCTGAGAGGTTCCAAAATTGTAGGCACAAGAAGGGGCAACAAGATCTGAGAGGACTGAACAAGACGACACAGCACTGCACATACTTTTCCATCCCAAAGTGCCAGGGTGTGGTTTGGAAACATGGAGCCAGGATAAACGATTATACGCTTTGCTAACTTCAGTGACCTCACAGCGCAAGTATGTGGGACAACCTCAGGCAAAGGGCCCTTCTGCTTTATATAGGTTGCTTTCTGACTCTAATTCTATAAGTAAATGAGGAGGTCTGGGCAGTGAATCTGTTTAAATAGGTATCAGCTAACAAAGGCCTGCTGCATAGAACATCTTTGCGGCCTAACATATTATGGAGGAGTATCAGAACTAAATGTATAGATTTTTACAGCCAAAGAGCTGGAGAACTGCTGGGTTACTGGACTGAGGGGAGACAATGAGGGGCTGATTGGGGACGGTGAGGGACTGATGAGGGACAATGAGGGGCTGAGGCACTGAGGGGCTCTTTTCAGTGGTGCTCAGCAACAGGACAAGGAGTAATGGCCATAAACTAAAACACAAGAAGTTCCGCCTCAACATGAGGATGAATTTCTTCACATTGAGGGTGGCAGAGCACTGCAACAGCTGTCCAGGGAGGTCATGGAGTTTCCCTCTCTTGGAGACATTCCAAACCCACCTGGACGCGTTCCTGTGTCATCTGCTTCAGGTGACCCTGCCTGGGCAGGGGGGATGAACTGGATGATTTCCAGAGGTCCCTTCCAACCCTAACAGCCCTGGGGTTCTGTAGCGGGACTGTGAAGGGAAGGCGGTGAGAGGCTGGGGGACCGAGGTGTGGTGGTGAGGAGCTGAGGGGGAGCAGTGAGGGACCGAGACCGCTGAGACGGGACGGCGACGGGAGGGCGCTGAGGGGTTGAGGCGGGATGAGGGGCTGAGGCGGGATGAGGGGCTGAGGCGGGATGAGGGACTGAGAGGAGGCGGTGAGGGGCTGAGGCAGAATGAACTGAGGGACCGAGGCGCGGTGCTGAGGCGGGCCGTGGCGGGAGGGCACTTAGGGTCGGCGAAAGATCCGCGAAGGGACCGAGGGACTGAGGCGCTGAAGGGCTGATAGGGAGGCACTGGAGGACCGAGGCGGACTGAGGGGTTCAGGGGCTGAGGCGGGATGAGGGACGGTGAGGGGCTAAGGCAGAATAACCCGCCGAGGGACTGAGGCAAACTCATGGACCGAGGTCGGGCACTGAGGGACCGAGGCTGGTCGATGAGGCGCTGAGGGACCGAGGCGGGGCACTGAGAGACCGCAGCCGGCCGCTGAGGCGCCGAGGCACTGATGGACCGAGGCGGGTGGATGCGGCGCTGAGGGGCGGGCGGGGGACGGCGCTGGGCGGAGGCGCTGAGGGCGCGCCCCCTCCCCGCCCCTCGCCCGCTCCCGCCGCCTCTCGCGAGGCCGCCCCCCCTCCCTGCCCGCGCGTCACCGGCGGAGCGGACGGGGACAACATGGCGGAGCGGCGGCGGCACAGGAAGCGCGTCCAGGTACCCGGGACTCCCCCTCCTCTCCATCCCTCCACCCCCGCCGGGCCCCGCGCGGCGCCTCTCGCTCCCCGTCCTCAGGGCGGCCTCCCCCGCTCCTCCGCGGCCTCCCCGTTTTCCAGACGGCGGCTGCAGGCGGCCCGCGGTGAGGGAGGGGAGCGCCCCGGTCTCGGGGCACCGGGGGCGCCTCAGGCCGCGGGGAGAGCCCAGGATGGCACGGGGCGAGCGGGTTTTCCTCAGAATTTTCTGGCAGATCGGTAAACTGTGCAAATAGAGCGCAGGTCGGAGCGTGTCGGGGGGCTGATGGGCGGCCGGCGGGGCCCCCCGGCATATCCGAGGCGCCTCCGCTTCATCCCCGTGGGGTCTGAGCCCTCAGAAGTTCTTCGTCTCTCGATGACCAAAGAGAGAGCTTTCAGGCTGTTCCCTGTTTATAATCGCCGTGGTACTCTCAGGATCGCACCCGTTACCGGTGTGAACAATAGCTTAGTGCGGGTTTCACCAAAACACCCGGGAGCTGCACCTTCACCCGGCGTGTCCGGCCCGGGGATCGTAAGCAAAAGACGTGGGACAGATGGTAAAAGCATCTCAAAAGCAAACGTGCCCCAGCCAGGAAATGATGCGGTAAGGAAAGGAAATTAGCGTCTGGAAAACATAAACAAACAGCCGCATCTAAAAATAGACCTAATCAGCTTTGAGATCGTGTTAAAATGTAGTGATAATTGTGCGGTGGCACTGAGAGGCGAAGTGAAGGCTACCGTGGTGCTTTCGCTTACCTGGAAGTCTGGTGTGTCAGCAGGGAGTTTTACAGAGTTTTTAATGCATGTGTTGGGCACAGTTGCAGTATCAGTGACTATAATGCTTATTACTGTTGTGTATTATCAACACTAAGCCTAAACAGTGTTTGTTTGGGATTTATTGCTCTGCTGTAAGTGCAGATAATATTGACAGAGATCAGAGAGCCGTTCAACACTGTGCACTTCATATGTCACCCTTCTGCTTGGTTGCCCTCTCTCCTTTCTCATCTTTCCCCTTCCCGGCCCACTTTGCCTTCCCCCAAGAGGATGGACATCTGCCCATACTTGTAATGGTTCCTTTTTTCCTTTTAATTCCAATTATGGGGGCAGGGGGAGAATTACAAGGAGTAATTAATCAAAATCTTGTTAAACAAGCCTTATCCATCACAGCATTCAATGAATTATTGTAAAACATTACAGAATTATTCTCTTTTCGTGATTGTTATAGACTGTCCCTTGACGGCTCAATAAAGCATCCATCCAACCCAATTTAAATGCATTTTAATGTTTTGTGTAACACCCAGGGCTGTGGTCTTGCAGGCAGTTAAGCACATACTTAATTTCCAGCCTGTTAGCAGTAAAAGTATTTCCCAGATTGTTAGTAATTAAATCGATGCCTGAGTGTTAACGCTTAAGGTCGTGGCCTAAATTTGTGATATAATTATGGACATAAATGTGGATTTTGGTAGGTTCCCAATGTATGTCAGCAACAATGGGAAGACAAGACCCTGAACAAAGAATACTGGTGAATGCCCAAGGGGTGTTCTTAATTGGTCAGTGAGTAAAACAACACGTTTTTCTTGGTAGTTGGTTTTGGGTTTGGGGTTTTTTTAAGCTTTTTGACCTTTATTGATATACTTGCAGCATAAGTATCATGTTTTCTGGCTAATGCTGGAAGTTTCTTCTTTTAAAATGAAGCATGGGATTTGTAGGTGCTTCAATTGTTTTAGCAGGGTGCACTTAATTTAGTGTGATGTGTGCTCCTTAATGAAGAGATTATTTATCACACTGCAAGCATGTCTGACACCTGAACACCCCACTGTCACTAAGCAGAGCTGTATTTCTCGACAGGAGTGAGGCTTTTGGGGGCAGGTGGTGTATTTAGCTGTGCTAGAGGCTGATGTAATGGAGCTCAATTACAATACCATGTGCACAGAACCTGTGTTTGGAATAATTTTCATAGGATTTTATGCCTGCCATCAAGATTGGAATCATGGTAATTGGGTCAGAGAGGTAGACATGAAAACAGTCTGAAAAGATAATTCTGTCCAGTCCACTCTGTGTGCTTCCCATCGGAAGTAGTCACAGGAAGGATGTGTTCTATGGAATGTGTTTTCATCGAAAGACAGCGTTGCCCAATCTGTGTTGCACAGTTTAGACTCTTCCTCTGAAAGTTGTGAAACTTGCAAAAATTTTAACTTCAAAAATTTGAACAAAGATATTTTAGAGGTAAAATTTTCCAAGTGTCATTCCTGGTGGTAATTTAACTGTAATTACCATAGAGATGAATTCGGATGCAGTAGTGAAAGGAGACTGGTCTGTAGGATGCAGATCACTCCCCCAGTGGCTCCCACAGGATTCAAAAGTCTGAAATCAAGAATGTTTGCTGTGTTTAAAGGACTGACTGAAAGAACAACAGCATATGTTGTCTAATGGCTGGTTTAATATTTTTATTTTAGCCACATACATGTCAAAAGATGGGAGATGGCTTTGAATGCCGGTTACTCCAGCAACCTGAACAAAGCTGTTTCATGTCTTGGAAAAAAACACAGTTCCATCCATGTCCTGAAATATTCCCTTCACCACAAAACCTTGGGCGCTGGTTCCTGTGCCCGGCGCTGGGCCGGGTAACACGTGGCACTGTGTTGGCAGCTCTGCAGTGTGACTGTTAAGCAGGCATTAAGTTTTCATTACCTTGGCTGGGTTCCACCGTGCACAGTTTTAGTCTCCCCGCGTCAAGTTTGGGTTTGATCTTTGCGTTGTGATCGACAGCGTTTGCCTCGCACCTTGTGCCGTGTCCTGCGCTCCAGAAATGTTCATGCACGCAAACAGCACCCCTGGGGACACAGCAAACAGCCCCTGGGCAGCTCTTGGGGCAGTGTCTCACTGCAGATTGGTGGCTGAGGTGGCATCAGTGACAGGTACTTTCCTTGTTGACTTTTTTCCCTTGATTGAAGCTGTGAGATTCTCCTGATGAAGGACATCTACTAATCATTAACTGTTGTGTCCTGTCAGGATTTGGGCTCTGCTGGAAGGAAAATGCAACAGCTGCATTGCTGCTCCTGTGCTACACCTTTGTGTGAATGACTCTGGAAAGGATTTGCAGAAAGGACAATGCAATGGCTTTCTAGTAATGCAGATTTTCATCCAGCTTGCCTGTTTGTCCTTATTTTCTCATAAATTCTGGTAAAGTTGAATGGGATGATAGCAAAGGAGAAAGGCTAAATAACTTCTTTGAAAGCTAAGTGGCATCAGGAGGAGGAGAAAACAAAGATCAAGGGGGCAAAAAAAAGTAGAAAAATAGGAATTAAAAGTAGCAGCCTGACTTGTCATTAAAACCAGAATCAGTTTTTTGGAAATTTTGAGTTACATTTTTGGAGGTGGGAAGGGAAAATGTTGAAACAGCTGGCCTGGGGCTAGAAGGGGACTGAAGCTGGTGTGTTTTGGCTTCAGAGTACCTTTTATTACTCCTTGGATGTGTTTGAGAACTCTGGACGTTTACAGCTTTTGCTCGAAAAAATTAGCAATGGTTGAAAAGAAAGAATGAAGAAAACCAGTACTTCTATTTTTATAGGATATGAACCAGACTGAAAAACATCTGCTAATCTTTTTCTGTAAAGAAAAGTTAATGTTTTGTGGCCTGCACACAGCCGTGGTAATCCAGAAGAACTGGTTTCTCCGCATGGCTCTGCCACAGTTTCTTTTAAGAGACCCGGGGCAGTCCTTGTACTGGTCATCAGTGCAGGAGTCCAGCAGTTTTAGGTGTATTAGTCACTGAAGAAAACACAGATGGAGTCCTTAGAGCAAGTCCTAAGATCCTGATGTGTTTGTTTCCCTCCTGCCCACTCCCACCCAGCAATCCAGTCATGCCAGGTCTGTGCTGCTTCTCTGTCCTGCTGCACCTAGGTTTATTTTACACAAAGTATAAATGTCTCAGCAGAATGGATGAGCAGCACCCACTCCCCTGCCCAGAACATCCAGTCTAAAGTCCTGACAGTCAACAGGGAAGGGGAAAAGATAATCCTGCAGTTCAGCCCAAGCTGTGATGTGCTCAGCCCATCTCCAGAGAAGAGAACCCTGTTGCAGCTGCAGTGTCCCTGCAGTATGAGGAGAGGGAGGTGTGTGGAATGGAACCTGGGTTGGCACACTGTCGTTTTTGATGTTGCCTTTCATCTTGAAAAACAGGCTGCACATGATGAATGTGCTTCAGATTTCTTCTTTTCCTTATCTGAAAACTGTATAAACTATTAGGCTTGAGCACTCTGCTGTGAGGGATGGTGTTCTGAAAATCTAAGAGCAAAGAAATAAGCTAGATATTCATTTTATTGAAATAAAAGAATTTTGATGACCCCTTTAAAACAGAGGAGCATAAATCCTTGTAATGCATTTGTCTGCACATGAAATAACTTATCTTGTTAGTGACACTCATTATTTACTCTCTTCTGATTTTCCAGAAACCTTGTTTACATTACAGACCTGTGGAAGGAAATTATCCTGTCTTTGGTCATAGCTGTCTTCTCACAACTGTGATGCAAAAGGGGAATAAAATGAGTGAAATTTCCAAACCAGAAATGTCCTCTGGCCTTTTGTATTCCATTGAGTGTTCCAGGAGTAAGAAAGCCTGAACAACTCCTGCTTAGGTAGAGCTGAAGGGGAGAAGGAAGCTCGTGGGCACACCGGTTTCAGTAGCTCAGTTCAGATGTTATTTGTGATGTGTACAGGCTGCAGTCCCAGCTGGGGGTTGAATTAACTGGGAACTACATCAGTGTATTGAAGGCAGTTCAGAATGCACTGTGCTGTACTTTGATGTGGGAGATAGTGG